GGGGGGCGGGGCGGGCACAGCTTTCCTTCTGGGCCTCGTGTCATTAGTGTTCGTCCCGACTCCATTTCTGCTACTCTTCTAGGCCAGGCGAACACGTTGTGTTAAACCAGGTAAGTAGTCTCACCAGGAGATTTGCAGGCGTCCCGACGCATGGGCCCATTTTAGCGGGTGGGAGAACAGACGGGTTACCTAGCTTTAAGTACGAATGAGCTGATTAAAGGAACCTGCTATTTGAGAGGGAAACAAAAAGTCCCAGTTTAGGTCTGTATTTTCATCTGCACACACCCCCGGAGAAATAGGGTGGTTTGTGTTCTCCCTCCAGAACGGTGTTCTGTGACATTAATAGAAAACCCTTCTTTCCCACCCCTCCCCGTCTTGAAATTTTCTTTTTTAGGCTGTTGTTTCCTGCACTCGAACTGACCCTATCACCTCTGCTCAGTGGTAAATAGACCGCACATCTCTTGAAAGGGAGCTATCTGAGTCCGTTTCTATGACAGCAGAAGAATGGCTGCTTTTGAATGGGGAGGAAAGAAGACCTTTTTCTTAATATCCTTTGTGTCCCATCTCCAAAATGTATAAACACCCTGATTTCATTTTACGTTAGTCTGTCATTTAGACTCCAGCAGCTCTTTCGGCCTTATTCTCCAGAATTTCCTACTTGCATTTTCAAAACCATATCTGATTTCCTAGAAACGGCTAACTTTAAAAGAAGTGGTGACTTTGCATTTATTTACACTTAGACACTTTCTAAAAACAGGGTGAACTCAATTGAAGTTCTCAGTGTTGTTAAGCTATTGTTACAGTAGGTGCCCTATAGTTGCAGAAACAAAACCTGTAAAAACCCATCCCCTGTCACTTAATCCAGATAGGCTGGATTTACTGAAACTAACAGTATGAAAACGTGTGTGTGCGTGCGTGTGCGTGCGTGTCGTGCGTCTGTGTGGGGGAGAGCGCTTAATCCATGAAAAGTCCTGGAAGCCGCTTTCTGGGTTCTTGTCGATTTTACTAGTCTCGTGCACGTGTGAAGTGCCCTCTCTGAGTTTAGGGTCTGGTTAATACTGGTATATTTTTATAAGATTGAGATGTGTCCCCATCTTTAACTCAAGCATTTTCATTATCAGGGTCACTGTGCTAAAATCGAATCGTATCATTTTTAGGCACAGATGGAGAAAAATGTCATTGGCTCCTTGAAAACGTGTGTGTGTGTGTGGTGAGGGGATAGATCCACAGGAGCATGTTTGTACTTACAAACCAAGCTGGAGAGATCGCAAACACGACTTAAGTGCTGATCTCAAGACACCTAAATTGTCAAGATTTCCATGGCATTGTGATGGAACTGGCTGACACGTAGAGCTTTTGGTCTGTAATAACTATTTGCTATGGACGGATTCAGTGTTTCAGAGGATTGTGTTCTTAAATTTGGGGGGTTCTGGGTTTCTGGTTCTTGGTTTTTTTTTTAACTGCCTCAGATTATATTTAGTAGTTTAAATTTCTTTGCTTTATTATTTCATTAAAGCATAAAAACTTCAGGTCTCTGATATTTATTTTCACTCATTCTACTAATTATTTACAAAACACCCTGTTAACTTTTATTTTATAAATGTGTAGTTATATTAAACGTCTTTAAAATTTTGTTCAATTGAAACCTCCATTAACTTTGATTTGCTTTACTGGGGTTTTGTTTTGTTTTGTTTTTAATACACCTTTTCCATGTCTGTGCGTCGCACTTACCCAATCGTTTGTATCCCCTTCAACCCAATAAACAATGAGTAAGACGTTGTGCCGCGTCTCCTCGTGTCCGTTCATCTGGGCGCTCGATGGCACCGCTTCCAACCTCAAACAGCTGACTGGCTGAGTCTGACTCCCACATACCTACCTGGAGTTTTCAAGTTGGTGTCAAAGGAAGCACCGCCTCGTGGTTGGCATGTCTTTTTTTTAAAGAGCAGGTGTGCCAGGGGCGCCCGAATGGCTGAGTCGGTGGAGCGTGTGACTCGACCTCAGGGTTGTGGGTTCGAGCCCCACGTTGGGTGTAGCGATGACTAAAAATTTTCCCAAAAATAAAAATTAAGGGCAATTTTGCAATCATGGATTAGTTTAGGAAAATTTAGGGAACACTTACATTTTCTTTGTATTTTGAAAATTGATTTATTCAGAGAGAGAATCCGTCTCAAGCAGACTCCCCGCTGATGTGGGGCTCGATCTCACGACCCTGAGATCACAACTTGAGCCAAAATCGAGTCGAGTGCCCAACACACTGAGCCATTCAGGTGCCCCAGGAACTTGCATTTTAAAGGAATCACGTGCCTGCCCCATCTTGTTCAAAAATATTACTGTATCTGACATTATGCATTAGAAATTGCATATGTTGATTAGTAAATATACTTTGAAATTAAAATTTATTTCCTCATGAATAATTATGTAGTTCTTTATTTTTAAGATTTTATTTATTTGAGAGAGCGCAAGAGCAGGGGGGAGGTCAGGGAGAAGGAGAAGCAGGCTTCCCGCCAAGCAGGGAGCCCGATGTGGGGCTCGACCCCGGGACCCCGGGATCACGACCTGAGCCGAAGGCAGATGCTTAACCCACTGAGCCACCCAGGTGCCCCATTATATAGTTATTTACAGATCTCCTTGGTGAGGGCCACCTGGGTGGCTCAGCTGGTTAAGCATCCAGCTCCTGATCTCAGGGTTGTGAGTTCAAGCTCCGCTTTGGTCTCTGAGCTGGGCACGGAGCTTGCTTAATTAAACAAAAAGATCTTGGAGAAAGCATTGAGTGTGTACAAACCCACAGCACATTTGTGTTTGTGAGAAAAGGGAAAGAAAATCAGTTGTCCCAGTTGCCCCCTTTAGGGGGCTTCCCTCCAGGAGCAGAGTCCTGCAGAGAAGG